AAATTTTAATCCACTCATTGTATTTACCTCTTTCGTATCGCATTTATTCCCATTGTTCTTCCCTTTCACTTGTTTTTTGAGGGGGAAACATAAAATGGAGCACGTTTCACCAAGTAGCCTGCGAAAGGGAAATTTGAAACTAATGTAGATATAAAGTCATGTCATTGGATTTATACTGATACGTGTTAACCAGCGACTCGGTTTTTGTGTTGTCACATGTATCGTAGGGCTATATGCCTTCGTCCTCTCAGACGCCTATGTATAGGAATAACATCCGAGTGAGCAGTTGAATACTGCTACGCGTTGAAGCACTGGCAAACATAAAAGTTCTAGCTACATCATCTGTTTGCTCTTCCTGTACTCACTCGGCCAGTACATTCAATCTGTTTCCTTCCTTCTCTTTCAATATCTTGGGCTGTAGAATGTTGTAAAATCACTAAACAATTGTCAAGTGAAACGACAATTGCAGCAGCATCACCACTCAAGTACAGATCAAAATTTCGTCACTGTTACATTGGACACTGAGCAAGACTACTATACACAAAAACACAAAAAGGCACTTTTTAACACGGAGATCATTTACCGCGCGATGTGTTTGAGAAGCAACTATTTTCGGCTATCCCGTAAAGAACGAAACTCTCCAAATGGAGTGGGACGAAACGATCTCTCACGAATCAATTTTGCGCGCGCTCCTTGAAGTCGTCGTCGTGTTTTTCCTCCTCACGTTACAATACCTCTTTTGTGAATTTTCCGCTTGGGAAACCTGATCTCCCTAGCCAGATAATCAAATTTAAGCATTACATACTTGCTGAGTGTCTGTGTGGTAGGTCCAGTTGTCTCGAACTACCTACAAAACTTCAGGTGCTTCTTTTGTAGGAGCGTCTTCCTCACTCGTTCAGATAAACAAGTCTTGTTGGCCTACCACGTGATTGCTTTGAAGCCAATCATCCAGAAAGTACTAGGTAAAGTCGAAAACCTTTTCTTTTCCTTGTGTTGTACTTTTTCAGTCTTATATTTGTTCATGCCGGTGGATACTGTTGCACTCCTACTCTTATATAGCATAAGTTTTGATGATAGTTAATATGGCTGTCAAAAGTAGCCTTAGAAAAGGCAGTAAAACACCTTACTGTGTTGTCATAAGGGCTTCAACCCGAGAAGGCGAAACCCCAGGGATATCAACTCCATGTCGCTTAATGATCCTAAAGATTCGTGTAGGTCTCTTCTGTCCTGATACTACACCTGCATTGCCACAGTCTTGTACTGAAACGGCACAGGCAATACCAGGGGGACAGGATATTACACATGCATCAACTGAAAGCCAGTGTGTTAATCACAGCAAACCTGAAAGGAAAGGCTCAAGACGTCATAAGACATCGAAGGCGTCATCAAGTAAGGGAGACGAATGCCAGGCGTGCAGTATCATATTTTCTAAAGCTGGCTCAGCGTTTGAATGCAATTTTTGCAAACGGTGGGTGCACTGCCATTGTAACAAAGAGGTGCCGAAGGCATACTACAAGTTTATAAGTAATAACCCGTGCCCGTGGTTTTGGTACATCTGCCCACTTTGTCGCCCTGGCATAGTCCCACAGAGCGTGTCTGCGGATAGCAGAAACAACAAATCGCTCTTGCGTCCCAACAAAGTCTTATGCAGCTACCCACCTGCTGACACCACACTGCCAAAACTTGGCTCAGACACTCCAGTCCTACTGACTGAAAATGCCAATTTTCATAAGGTGAAGATTCAAAAGGTTGGACACACAAAATCAAGGGAAGAGAGAATTAGAAAAGTACCACTTGCATCCGCAAGCAAGTTCGGCAACGCAACAAAGGCTGGCCAAAACCTGATGAAGC